AGTCCACTGAGTGAGTCCACTGAGCCAGTCCACTGAGTGAGTCCACTGAGTGAGTCCACCGAGTGAGTCCACTGAGTGAGTCCACTGAGTGAGTCCACTGAGCCAGTCCACTGAGTGAGTCCACTGAGTGAGTCCACCGAGTGAGTCCACTGAGTGAGTCCTCTGAGTGAGTCCACTGAGCGAGTCCTCTGAGCGAGTCCACTGAGTAAGTCCGTAGACTAAAGAAAGGACTTAATTTTTTGAGCAATCTCTTGAACTGCAATACTGCGATCTTTGAAGCGAGTGTGTAAAGTGATTCCTGACGAAAGTCAGTTACGAGTTTCTGGGACGCCGGATTAAAAAAAATCCTTTATGTGAGCTTTTTATGAACTTTAAACATGAAGCCTAAATTCTGCCATTCCTAAGATATTTAATTTAAAAAAAACATCCAGTTTAGAATTAAAACATTAAAGGTATGTGTAGATTATAGAATGAGGAAATAAAATAATTTGTCCTGAGTTATAAAGATAAAATTCTATTTTTAGTGATGACAGTAGACCCAAACTTTTAGAGCTGACGGTATACTCAAACCTTGATTGTTTTAGAGCTGCTATTTCGCAGCTGCAAATTACTCGTCATGAGAGACTTCGTTTCCGTTCGTAAGAATATTTGACATCTGCATCATTTTTCATACTGTATTCCTGTTTTCGGTTAGCAGTGAATGACGAGGCTCGGTTAGCAGTGAATGACGTGGCTCGGTTAGCAGTGAATGACGAGGCTCACTCAGAATTCACGTGTTTTACGTGTCTTAAAAAACATTTTTACGTGTTTCAGGTGAAGTTGACAGCGTTGCAGCGCTGGGAGCAGCTGCGTGAGAGTTGCAGCTGCGGTTTCATCAGACGTGCACCTGTAGCAGCTGCAGTTTCAAGAACTGCTTCAGCAACAGCTGCAGCTTCAAGGCACAGTTCAGGAACAGTGTCGCTCTCTGTTATTTCCAACACGTCCAAAACAAGACCTGAAGCGCAGTCTTTCTTGGCGTGATTTGCACGCTTTGTATTTTTGGTAAACACGCCATTTTCGGGAAAAAAGTTTGCGATTCATTTAGGTTTTACATTTCGTATCAGTTAAGTGTGTATTGCAGGAGACAGATCTATTCCAACATTTAACAATACGTTTTCTTCTTGAGTTTAGTTATCACGGTTAGGAAGAATCTTGTGGTCAAGAAAACTAGAAGAGTTCTCACCCAATTAGGCCCATTGACAGGTAATTTATTGAAATGATAGTTCTTCCGACAGAACATTATTTTTTTTAACTTTGCGCTCAGTGAAGTTGATCGCTACAAGCCTGACTCAACGCAATTGCTGCTCGTGCCAATAACAAATTGTCTTTTGTTCCTCCGTAAATTTGTCTTTAATTTGTTTATTGCATTTACTCAGTGGTTTTAATATATCTAAACAATACACGAACAATAAATTTTGCACACGAACGATCTGAGACACATTTTTCGTGTCTTTTAAAGTCCTACTTCCTATAACGAACAAATATAATTAATAATACAACCTGCAGAGTACAATTTTTGTGAGTTATTATTAATTAATTTTATGTAAATAATACTTATGTTGTTAATTAATATCTCCCCCAAAAATAAACTATGCGTCTTTTTAAATTCCTTCATTTATTCCTCGATCTGTTCTAATTTTATTTACATATAACAATTCGCTTTAAATTGTCAATATTTGGAAAAGTTTTTTTCCGTGGGTATAAAATCTAGAAAATCTTCAGATTTGTTATTTTGAATATAATAAAATGTATAAAAAAAATTTTTAAAGACCACGTTTTTCATGTGGACTCAAAAGTAGAAAATAATTTTTCGGCAGCTACTGATCTCTGTTTGCTTTCATTCTCAAGCGCTAGCTAATGGGAAAGTTGGTGAAATATCGATTGCAAGATTTGATCATCACAGACACGAAAGCGAGCTAAGAAAAACGTGGTAAAAATACCGCGAATCGGCCCAAAAATCATGCACAGCTTTTCTCAGTTCTGAACGCATTTGTTTACGTTAATTAAAATACTAATTGAGTTGATTGACAAATCTGATTTGCACTGTCGTATGGTAGTAACATTTTTTGATGCACTTAGAAAATAGCTTGCTTTTAATTTTACTATTTACCTTGTAAATGATCTAAAAGCTGGTAGCGGATGTTACAAAATACTTATAACTTGAATACAGACCCAAAAAATGCAAAAGTTATCTGTGCCTCGAAAAAGACGTACAAAATATCTTTATCGCAAGAACATTAAATATAATTTAGTTTTGTACATAACAGAAAATCTCGCAAATAACATATTAATAAAATTTCCGACTATAACATAGCATTGCAAAAATAAACGCAGGTTCCAAATGATTTAAAAGTCAAGTGCGCATTTCACTCATGATATAAACACGCATGACATCCACTGAACATGTACTTTCATCATCAGTTTGAATTAACGATGTTTTCTCTGCGATACCGGAAGACCAAGAGTTAACTCGACCCAACATGCCTGCCTTCAACAATCCATCGTCCAAATTATTAGCAGGCCAGCCGACGATCCACGGTTGGCCAACCATAAAACGCTCATAATTATTATTGCATCCTCTCATATTATCGGAATTTGTGATCCATGAGCAGCAGAAGTTATGATGGCAGTTGCACAACAGAGTAATTACAAGAGTAGGGTAATTAGAGCTCCAACTTTCACATCCGCTGCTTTCTGCCGCACGCGACAAACATTTTACTGCGACTTTTTTCGTGTTACTCATGCGTGCAGTGAGTGAAGCCGTGACGGGATGGCAGTGAGTGAAGCCGTGACATGATGGCAGTGAGTGAAGCCGTGACATGATGGCAGTGAGTGAAGCTGTGACATGATGGCAGTGAGTGAAGCCGTGACATGATGGCAGTGAGTGAAGCCGTGACATGATGGCAGTGAGTGAAGCCGTGACGTAATGGAAATGAATATTTGTTACTCTAATTAAAGAACTAACACTGTCCATGAAACATGGAATCTTCATAAACTAAAATTTAATAACTACGACGATCGTAAAATGTTCTAAAGCCATGAGATTAGCTTTCTCGTTTAGAACTCAGCCGTAAAAGTTCAGTAAACTATAACAAAAATTTGAAAACAGTCATAAATAAGAGTAAACAGTTTGCAAGTAGTAGCTAAGTATCATACAGTGACTGAGTTAAAACGTTTGTTGTAACTACGAATGTTTTTAAACGGAAGATCCAAAACCATATACGTTTTCTTTGCGACTCTATAAAAGCTTTTAAAGCTAAACCTTTTAAGCCGTTGAGCTGCGAAAACGTTAGCTGCATGATTAGAGATGCTAAACGTCAGCGAGGAAACGTTAAGTTCAGTGTAATTTAGTATGAATACATCGGCTTCATGACATAAAAGTCTTTAAAACATAGGATCAGAATCTTATTCGTGTTTATAAGTTCGCTTAACTACAATAAAATTATAGGAAATTATTTTTAAGTCTTACGATAGTAAATAATTTGCTTCAGAGCTGCACTGTGGTAAAAAGTTAGCCTCAGAGCGGTATAGTGGTAAACAACTTGCACCAGTGTAGCCGTATTGCTGTCAAAAATGTCCAGTTTAGCCGTATTGTAGTCAAATATTTTTCCAGTTTAGCCGTTTTGTGGTAAAATTTTTTCCAGTTTAGCCGTATTGCGGTAAATAAAACAGTTAGCCGTATTGTGGTAAAAATAATTTCCAGTTTAGCCGTATTGTGGTAAAAAATTTTCCAGTTTAGCCATATTGTGTTATAACATTTTCCAGTTTAGCGGTATAGCTCCATGGTACATTATATAAGCGGGCGTTCTAAAAAGAGTCCGATCAGATGCTGCCGTGCAGCTGTGGTGTGTGCGTTGTGCAGCTCCTGCAACTATAATGAAGAATTAGTTACAGTGTTGCTGCTCATGTAATGCTTTATTATTAAATTCTTATCGGTGAAAGTAGGCGATAAAATTATCACAGCTAATAAAATTATCGTGAATTTCCCGAATTAATTAACGCCCGCGTCTGGCGATGGACTGCAACATTTTCAATTCTTTGTTGTTTTATGCGGAAGCCTTTACTTGAACGTTTGAATTTTTGCCCGTTCATAATTAACAAGTATTAATTGAACAATTTTAATCAGCATCTTAAAAATTATTTATTTGGGCAGAAATTCAATGGAAAATCATTACTTGGACTTTACTTGGATTACTTGGAGTTTCCAAATTAGAGTAATTTTACTTTGAGTGATTAACTCGCGGAACTCTTACAAATCGTGCTCGAAAATTCATAAATCGGTTCATGCAACTTCATAAATCGGTTCATGGAACTTCAAAAATCGGTTCATGGAACTTCAAAAATCGGTTCATGGAACTTCATAAATCGGATCATGGTACTGCATAAATGGGTTCATTAAACTTCATAAATCATTTCATGAAACTGCATACATTGGTTCATCGAACTTATATATGTCGGTTCTTGGTAGTTTTATATGAAGTTTCGTGAAACTTTCGTCAATCGATCCACATATTTTTATCCGACAGTTCATGGTCTTCCAGCCCGACGCAAAAGGTTAGCCCCACCCCTTTAAAACATCATAACACATCGAGTTTTGCCAGTTTTAACGTGCAAATGGTGGCAAACGATTTGTCTTGCGCTCTGCAATCTATAGCAGGTGAAATTTGGTGAAAAAGTTAATTACTGGCGGAAAAATCGAGCGGTCCGTGTTTTTGCACCGACGCAAAAGGTTGGCCCCACTTTGCAAGTTTGGCGCTCCTGCGGACAGGACGCAGCGTAGACTCGCTGCAAAGGGTGCGTTCATAGCGTAGAAGTTGTGCACGCATCTTATGCTCACCTAGGCAAGAAATGGGCGCGGGAAAGCCTCTAACTGAGTTTCAGAAAGGTGCCATTCAAGCCCTGATGGCGCTGCCTGAGGGCGAGCGTCATAGCCTGCGTCAAATGGAGGCACAAGTGGGGTGTAGCCGCAAAGCCATCTCCAACTATTTCAAGGACCCCGTGAACTACGGAAAGCGGCACACCAAAGGCCGCCCCAAGAAGATGTCGGCCCGTGACACGCGTCGCCTCTTCCGAGTTGCGGCGCCCGGCGACTTGAGCGCGCCCAAACTAGTCCAAAAGTTGGAGCTCAATGTCTCCAAGTCCACCGTCTCTCGCACCCTCGCGTCCTCCGGCATCTTCCAATACGTGAAGAGGAACAAGGCCCCCCAATTGACCGAGGCTCACAAGCATGCCAGGGTCGCCTGGGGCACAAAGTATGCAAGTACTAGTGATGATACCTGGGCCAAAACCATCTTCTCTGATTAGAAGAAACGGAATTTGGATGGCCCAGATGGTCTGAAGTACTGCTGGCATTTCCGCAGGAATGATCCAGAGGCAGCTTTTAGCCGCCAAAATGGCGGGGGCAGTGTAATGGTGTGGGGAGTCTTTCATGCAAACGGGACGAGCGAGCTCGTCTTCCTCAAAGGCAACCAGTGTCATCCGCCACCAAATTCGCCGCGGCGCCATCTTCCAACAAGATAATGCCTCAATCCATACGGCGCGCACGACCAAGGCCTTCTTCAAGCGTGCCAAAATCCGGGTTATGGACTGGCCAGCCAAGTCCCCCGATCTGAATCCCATTGAGAACGTCTGGGGGTACATGGCTGGGATCGTCTACGCCTGCGGGAAGCAGTATGACACGAAGGAAGAACTCGAGTTTGCCATTCAAACCGCCTGGTCCAATCTGGACCCCAACTACCGCCGTAGATTGTCTCAGGGCATGAAAAAGCGGTGATTGGATGCCTACAAAGCCTACGTGGAGCATATCGGTAAATAATTTTTAGTTTTGCAGCTGACGTATGTTTTGTTTTGCCTAAAATGTCAAAGTGTACAAAGTAGGGCTAACCTTTTGCGTTGGCGCAAAAACTTGTATTTTTCATTTTCTCCGTTACTAATTACATTTTCAAAACAGTCTATTGTATTTTGATTACTGAGACCAAGACGCATCGTTTGCCACCATTTGCACAATAAAACTCACAAAGCTCGATGTGTTATGATGTTTTAAAGGGGTGGGGCTAACCTTTTGCGTCGGGCTGTTCGTAATCAGTGATTAACGGTCCATCGGTTGATTTGGGCCTGATTTCCGCAGAGCGTTGACATACTGGGCTTCAAGTTCAACGTTGACATACCAGACGTTAAGTTGACATACTGGGCTTCAAGTTCAACGTTGATATACCAGACGTCAAGTTGACATACCAGACGTCAAGTTGACATACCAGGCGTCAAGTTCAACTTTGACATACCAGACGTCAAGTTGACATACCAGGCGTCAAGTTCAACGTTGACATACCGGGCGTCTAGTTGACATACCAGGCGTCAAGTTGACATACCAGACGTCAAGTTCAGCGCCGTCAACCAGCTAAACGATGAGGCTGGTGGCAGGGATCTACCTCCTGGTAAGACGCATATGGTGCTTTAAAACAAAAGACTACAAATTGACAATGCTTTAACAGTGAGAATTAACTGAAAAATAATTCATGATTCAGAAGGATTTACTTATACGTCACTTTGTAACCATGAGACCCAACTAAATCATGGTTCTTTATCCGTAGGGCTTCACTAATATACGACGCTCTAACCACGATACTTAATTATGTGACGTGGTTGGAAACCTGAATTTTCTTAATTTATATGCATTAAAGCATAGCTGGTGTTAGTAAATGCATTGAAAGTTGTAATCTAATTGATTTTGTCGTTATTACTGTTATTTATCATTCGTAAAAACGATTTCGTTACTCGAATCGTTCGTGTATCGAGAAATCCCGTTTAAAGATGTATTACACACGTTCCAATTCTCAGATTTATGAATGGAAGCGTACGGGGGCCTTGTCACGCGTAATGTCATCGATTCTTTTTATCGGAACCAAATCATAAAAAACGTAGATTAAATATTGTAGAATTAAATTATGCAATGTGATTATTACATTTTCACAAATAAAATTTTCAATTTCATACCGAGTGCTGCAAATATGGAATTTCTTAGACTTTCATAACATAGTTTTAACAGTAATCATTTATGCCATCACTTGAGCTGGTGAGAATTTGTTTCCATGTCTTAATTTCTTCTCAGGGATTATTAATTTGTTTTCTGCATTATATATTTTTCATTTCCTCTTTGAAAGAATTTAACACGTTTGTGTCACGACGACTATTGGCTTAAACTGAACTGAATTCCCATTGGCTTTTCAGCTCACCATTGGGCTGCTCGATGTGCTCCCTACAGCCAAGAGCTTCCGGGTGAGCGGCTAACAAATAATTTAGGTGAAATAAGTAAATAAAAAGTAAGTTCATATTACATTTTTATGGTAAGCGTTAATAGTTGGCGTTATAATGGAAAGAGTTAGGAGTTAGCACCGTAATGAAAAGAGTTAGGAGTTAGCACCGTAATGGAAAGAGTTATGAGTTAGCATCGCAACGGAAAGAGTTGAGAGTTAGCTCCATAATGGAAAGAGTTAAGAGTTGGCATCGTAATGGAAAGAGTAAGGAGTTAGCATCGTAATAGAGTTAGGAGTCGTAATGGATAGAGTGTTAAGAAATAAGGCCGCTTGACATTTGTGCGTAATGCAATTTAGCTGCTATTATTGATGTTGTTTTTACTGTTGTTATCAACAGCTTGGACTATACCTGGGAGGTCGCCCGCCCTTCCAGCTGGGAGCTCCTGGTAACGGAATATCGCCACCACTTGTCCCCAACCTTTCCCCAATCCCCAACCATCATCCCTCCTTCTACCCACACTTCCACCCTGATCTACCTTTCTACGCGACGCATCCTCCCCATCCCCACCACGGGTCCTCCACCGTCTCCCCATGCCACTCCCCCCAGTTCCAAGTCCTCACAAACTTCTACGGGGACTACTTCCAGAAAGGGGTGATCTGTTCGACTGGGGGTTACAGTTCCCCATCTGGAGGACAGGGCTTCTTCAACGTAAGGGACGAAGTGAAGCCTGGGGAAGACTTGGGGCTACGCAGCGACGTCCTCAAGTCTTACACGGACGACGCTGGGGCTCCTTTCGACACCCGCGGGGAAGGAGGATTGTGCCTCAAAGTCCCCGACGTCTGCAGCATGTTTGACCCCAAGAAGGAGAGGTGGGGAGTTGATGCATTAGGGTGTGAGAAAGATTTTAATGGACTCAGTGGATTGAATGGTTAAAATAATAAAGTCAGATGGTTCTAATTTGTCCGGTGGTCCTAATCCAATTAAAGATACCAAGGGTTCTAATTCTGGCGCTGATCACATTGACTTTTAAGGTTCTTACAACTCCATAGTTATGACGACTCTAATATTTTTTGAAGATTCAGGTGATTCTGGGGGTTCAAACAGCTCAAGTTGTCTGTGAAATTTTGAAAATCATAACGATCAGGGATCAACCGGTCTAGATGTCTGTTAGAACTCCATTTTTTCTACCAGCTTTGATGTTTTTGTGCCGCTTGAGTCTTTGAGCCAAGTCGGCCAACGAGCTTGAAGGGAGCAATGTCCTTTGAATCGCTTATTTCCTGAACTGATTTCTTGTTGTCCCGTCGCGATGTTTTGTTGTTGCTGCGATGGCAGAGGGACGTTTGTGCCTTCTAAGGAACGATGGTACAACACCTAAAATACTCACATTTCTTAATACGTAATCGATTACTATAAAGAACACTTGGGGTGTTACACTGCAGCGTAAATAACAGTTTATCACCGATGAAAATAGCCCAAAGAAACTTACGTTACTTCATTAGTTCCAGGAACAGGGTATAAAAATCCGGTTCATAGAAGTAAAACTATGGTATATTACATACATTTAAAAGGATACGGAAAAGGAAAAAAGAAATATACATATGGAATTACTGGAATCGCTTACACCAGCTTTCATGAACTACCGATGCGGAATTTTTTCACAAAACATTGCTCAGTTCGAAACATTTATTGATCAAAACAATTTTAGTGAACTTAAATCCCATTTGATCTTTATTCCTGTTTAAAGTATGGCAGAGTGCTGAAAAATTTTGGATTCATTGTTGCGTGATGAGGCAACAATGAAGAAAAAACCAACAACTCATCTTTTTACGTCGTACTTTTATACAGTCACAACTTCCAATCTCGTACAATAAATAAATCGTTCAATTTTTAATCAAGAAGATGGCGAAACTTTATCGTATTTGTACTTGAAAAAAATTTAAGCCAAAACAAAGAAAGTATGAAAATTTTAAGCCAAGGAAAATATGAAGTAAGCTCTAACCGTAAAATTAGAATCACGTTCAACGAATAATAACGAAAACTTTATCCCACAGGAATGCACGGTTCACTTCCGACACTACGTCCGACGTTTGGTCACGCATGCGTGACAACCTCAACAACATCTACACGTACATCACGAGACGCTCTTCCCCTGCTACGCCTTCGTCGTCAGAGCTCAGCTCACCACTCTTCTCTCTGCTGTCTTCGTCCAGTTTCCAGTCACAACCGAGGGATCCACAGCTATTTTCCCCTCACCCACGAGATCCAGGAACCCCATTCCCTCACCCAAAGGACCATTTCTCGGTGGCTCCTGAGCAGTGGGCAGCGCTCCGACACAACGATTCGGTGGCGGCTGAGAGCTGTCACGGGGACGGGTGAGAAGCACGTTGAAATGCGGGCTGCTTACGATAATTTTAGCTATGGAAGGAAGTCACCAAATAATTAATAGGGTAAAAGACTTATATTGGATACATTTACTTAATTAAAACTACTGTGAGTTGATGAACTGACTGAAGATGGGGTGCTCTAGCTGAAGAAGTTTATGAATACTCCCGTTGGTAAATCTATTTCCACTTGTTCACCACAACTGAAGAACTCAAATGAAACCGAGCTTTGGGGTGCAAACTTTGCTATTAAATTGATCGATTATGTCCAAATTGTGGTTTTCACCGGTGCTCGTGTGGGCTTGGTTTGTTAGGATCGGAACTAATTTATTGAATGAAGATTTCCATTCTGGGCATTAGGAACGATTATTTCACATCATTCTGCTTTATTAATAATGAAGAGAGCCTTGAGACCTCACCGATAACTATTAAATAATTACAAAAAATCTCCACCAATCTACGGAATAAAATAATATCTGGCGCGGAATATAATCATGAATAAAATAATAAATAATATATTAATAATAAAAAATATTATCGTAAAATATTATCATAATATATATGGGATAAATGAAACTAATTCTAAGAAAGTGATCAGAGAAAAAAATTAGATTGAAATTAATAATAATATAATAGATAAAATAATAAAATAAAGAATGTGCAGAAATAAACCTATTTAATAGCATTAATCGACAATATAAAATGAAGAACGTTATCTGAAATTATCTTCTCAGATGTCTGGCAGGAGTGCCCCACTCCACCCGCTTCTCAGGGTTCCCCTCACTTGATGGCTACCCTTATCCTTCTCGAGGTGAAACCTATCCATTGTTTAGAACAATTAGTTGATTTATTATTTTATAGTTTTATTTGATAAACAAAAATATTTCTGAGAAGTCGTTCTCTATTTTAGCCAAGATATTGGTATAGCTTGGCCGAAATTGTTTCTTCATACGACTGAAGAGCTTGAGAATTTGGTAATACTTTGCTTGCTCGTTTTTTATTTATTTGTATGATATTTTTCTCTGGCAACTGGAATGCGACGATCGAGCAATATCCATAAGACACAGTACTTCCATTTAAATAATTCTAAAATCTCGATATGTCAATTGTTTCAAAATTTTAATCTTATATTATAATGAATAATGTTTATCCAAACCTACTCTAAAAATGCAAAAGCAAAGAGTAGTCCACAAAAATTCATATCTTTATAGAAAAAGTTTCAGAGTCCAGCTTCATCGTCAGTTCGAAGAATCTAGAATTTATATACATAGTCACAAATTAATACAATTGAAAGCACAGAACACAATTAAAAAACAAAATTTTACAAATAATAGAGCAGGAAAAACATATCTATTCACTATTTCAAGGTAACGGGAGCTAATAGTACAAGGATTCTAAAATGTACAAGGAAAACTGATAATAAAATCCATTCTCTGATCATCAGTCGAATTTTTATGTAGTCTAGATGTTTAGAGTCGTATTTCGTATTGAACTTTAAGCAACGTTGCACGATATTTATATGATATGAAATAATATTTTGGCGTCAGATTTGATCAGGTTATGTTGGAATGTCGTCGATTCACAATTATTTCTCTGTTTTACAGAAAGGCACCTAATTGATTTCGACCAAATCATTACAACTTGCTCCGAGCTTTTATGACAATATTTATCACAAGTGTAGAAAATAGCAAAAAAAATTCTTACTAGAATTTCTAGTGCTTCATAACAAAAATTCTAGTGCTTCATAACGGAATGTAAAGACAGGCCATTAATTAGGACTCATCTGAACTTGTTTAGACCCATTATACGCGGTCGCCCCTCCATTCCATTATTGCCACCAACCCATGCAGTAGTATGTATACCTTTCTGTACATTAGTTAACAGAGTGTATTATTCACTTATAATTAATACTAAAATTAGTGCTGACTTTAAGTTTTAGTCTATGAAATTAAGGGGAAAAGTGACTTATATTTTACCAGGAGTGGTGGTGTGCGAGGAGAGTGAGGGCGTCGCGTACCCTCTCGTGGGTATGTCGGCAACCACAGGCAAACCTGTACGGCTGCTGCAGCACCATCCCCTCATCACCCAGCCCGTGTTCTTCACCCGATGTGTGTGAGTTATTAGGGCACCCAGACCAGTACGTGGGTGATGAATAAACATAATACACGTCTGTGTGCGGGTGATGAATAAACATAACACACGTCTGTGTGCGGGTGATGAATAAACATAACACACGTCTGTGTGCGGGTGATGAATAAACATAACACATGTCTGTGTGCGGGTGATGAATAAACATAACACACGCTTGTGTGCGGGTGATGAAACCTAACTCAGTTTCAGCGCTTTGGTGATGATTGAACCTAGCCTATACCCATGTACAGGTAATGCATGGACTCAATTAGAATGGTCTGGGCAATAAACGATTATATTTGCATGAAATAATATATATGTTGATTGCAACACATTCGAAAAAAATAGAAAATGAAGAAAAGAAAAAATGACAATATATTTATTTCATTCCGAAAATTTATTAATCAGCACCATTGCTCTGAGTTCCCCTTCAAGTAACGTCATACATCATTTCAACTGAGCGATCATTCACCATTTTAGCGCTCACACAAAGTTAGCTTAGATTTGAGGAGCTCGAGGTACGTTAAAATGTGTAACTCCACAGGACGCCCAGAACTCACCTGGTGTCCGGGCGCTGTCGGCAGAAATTCCTGCCGGTTGCCTTCTTGATCGACGAAGCGTACACCAACCACCATGTTCACCCGCGGTACAACCGACGATCTGGTCTTGAGAACCACACCCTCATCGAGGACCGTGATGATCGTCTGCTGAATGGAACAGATCCAATCGGAACATTCAAAACTGAATCAAGAATAGTGAATGAGCGTCTTAAAAAGGACAAGGTGGCTAGACGTGGAAGGATCCTTGATGAAACTAAATCAGGAAATAACAGTGAAACTGGATTGGCTGACAGAACATTTGCTGTTGATTATATGAACAATAAATCGTTGAGAGACCACACAAAAGGAAGCGGCGAAACGTTCATTGCATTTCAAGATTCAGATGGTGGAAGCCTCGATAAATCGTCAAATAATACCCGAAAAGTACGATCAGCGTTGCCTCAGCCCCGACAAGACCATTCGACGAAAGTGGCCTCAGCGGAGGCAAAACCGCGGTTTTCTCTCTCTTTCATCGACAATCTTTTCTCTGGTAATAAGCACAAGCCGAACTACTTACAACCACCATATGCAGGGTACCTCCCAGGGCATGACTTGCATGATTACAAGCAGGCATACATAATGGTCGAGTCTGGCTGCCAGGTCATCATTGACGTGCCACTGGTCAGAAGAGGTGATGGACAGCTGGAGAGCCAGAGGGACAGTCTGGGACAGGGCCCGACGGATAGTCCGTGACTTTAAAGGAACTTGAAGATCAGTGTGGGTCAGTTACAGTATCAGAGTGATAGTCTGGGACTTTAAGGGAACTTGAAGGATAGTCTAGGACAGTTACAGTATCAGAGTGATAGTCTGGGACTTTAAGGGAACTTGAAGGACAGTCTAGGACAGTTACAGTATCAGAGTGATAGTCTGGGCTTTTAAGGGAACTTGAAGGACAGTCTAGGACAGTTACAGCATCAGAGTGATAGTCTTGGCCTTTAAGGGAACTTGAAGGACAGTCTAGGACAGTTACAGTATCAGAGTGATAGTCTGGGCCTTTAAGGGAACTTGACGGACAGTCTGGGACAGTTCCAGACTCCGGGTAACAGTGTGACAGTCCCCTAAGCGGCAGATCCCAGAGCGTCATTACAGTAAACAATCCCTCAACTTGAATTTTATGCGTATGAAAGAACCTGTTAACTTTATAATTTACTATAATTTGAAAACTGGTAAACTTAGAAGAATGTTCGAGTCAGCATGCCCTTTATGAGTGATTGTTTGGTGCTTGTTCCATAAATGAATGTATGTTGCCATCCCTGATATTTCGTGAGGCAACTTGACATAACCATGACTCAATTTTGTGGGCACGACGTGCCAGGATGACGTTTGAAAAAGTGAGTTCATTTTTGGACAAATCCTTCTTTCAGAAAAGTGATTCCTCCCTACCCACTCATTTCTCTTATTGTAGCGTCATCGTCATTAGCCGAAAGGTTGACAATTTTACTTGCTATGTATTTGACAATCGTCAAATAATAAAAATACTCTACCTAAAAAACAATTATTTGATCACTGAATGAGAATTAGGAACTGTATTTAAATTAATTACAGGTATAAAAATTTCTTTAAGAAGAGTGAAAATGAAAACAATGGAGCCAGATATTATCAGCTAATTTAAGGAAAATACGTAAAAATGTAAACCTGCGAATAATATTCCCAGTCAAATCATTAAGCAGTTGGAACAGAATGGACTTAAACAATGAATATTGCGTAAATTGTGAAGTTTCATCAGTAGAGTCATAATTATTGTGCGCTATAATCCAATTTGAATTTAGAGGTGAGTTGTGTCGAGGAAGTTTAAATAAGTGAGGAAAGCAAGTAAAAGTCGAAAATATTGAGCTTTCCGAATGTTAAAATTCCTTTGCTGTTGAGATTATTTTCTAAGTCAATAGTTCTGCATGGTGCTGAGTAGAATTAATCCTTGCTGGGACAACCTAAATCTCTCCATTAGATCTCCATAACAGTACGCATATAGGAAAGTTGAAGTCAAACTCCATAAGTAACCTAAAAAGTTATGTTTGGTAAATGTACGGAACAGTGAATTTGTTATGATTTGTGGCAGCTGGCTAGAATTGTATGTAAACTGTTGTATTATAGAACACGTTACGAATGCTGATGAAGTCTTGAATGGTTTAATATTGTAATGTTACTTGATTGTGACCATGTTTACCTGTTTCCTATTGTTTCTGTTATTGTTATTTTCTTGCCCTTTGCATGGGAACATATCTAGAACAACTTTAATGAAGAACACAAATATGCCATCAGAGTTTGTTGAACGTGCGTAGTTGCTTGTGACGTCACAACCAGAGTTACGCACGCAGTTGAGTATAACGCCACCACAACTAGAGTTACGCACGCAGTTGAGTATAACGCCACCACAACTAGAGTTACGCACACAGTTGAATATAACGCCACCACAACTAGAGTCACGCACACAGTTGAGTATAACGCCACCACAACTAGAGTTACGCACACAGTTGAGTTTAACGCCACCACAACTAGAGTTACGCACGCAGTTGAGTATAACGCCATCACAACCAGAGTTACGCACGCAGTTGAGTATAACGTCACCACAACTAGAGTTACGCACGCAGTTGAGTATAACGCCACCTTGACCACATGTTAGTTATTTTAATGTCCTAGAAGAGGCACTCTTTAAAGTATTTACAATACATGATTAAAGCTTGATCGTTCATTTGTTGTTATGAATATATTTGTTGACGAACGTCTAGATTTTTACATTTTATTTTTAGCACATTTTATGCCGGGATTGTTGTTTTCAACCGCAGCCTCAACTCGAGATATAAATAATAGTAAGTTACTTCTACATAAATATATTCCCTCAACATAGTTAATTAAAAAATAATACTAGATTTGATATGTAGCAGGTTACCTACCTTAAATTTGAAATAAATTCAATCAATATTCATTGAGAGATCAAGATCGTTTGATTTCTTTAATCGCAAGTGAACCATGAACTTGCAAGAAAATAAAATGCCCCGAATTTGCTCCGTTTTCATTAAAAGTGTTTTAGAGACTATATTCATCATCAGTTTAAAATTCGACAGTATAATTATTTAATTAATTATAAATAAATTTAATTAATTATAATTAATTATAATTCTTGAAAAATATATATCTTTAAATCCAAGTCGCCAACAAAAATGCGAAAATACAAAAAAACTCTTTTATTTTCAATTTTAAGCTGATTAGAACTATATACACGTTGTTCAAAGTTTCCATTTGAAAATATATTTTTCAAAAATCTTGAAGCCTAAAGCGCCGATGAGGGAATTGCTACAATTTCCAAATATCCTCTGAAAACAGAGGCACTGCCACCTCTAATGAAAGAGGTTTTAAGAACGCTATATGGAATGTTTCATTCTATTAAAATGATAGCTTTTTACTCAAGTTTTGTAATGAATAACTGCAAATCGGGAAGACTGAGACCATCGAAATTTTCTGGCAAATATGCGCATTCGGAATCGTTAATAATCTATCTACTCATGCCCAGCACCACGCGGGTAATGTCAACGGCGTTGTATTATGATGTGTTGCATATTTAAATTTGACTAGCTTACTATGATGTAAAACCAAATTTAATGCAAAATATTAAATTTCACTTCACTTATTCCTTCAATTCAATGAAATCCGGACTTCGAACAAGAAGTTCGATGCTAGTTTTCACTAGCAAATCAGTCTTAGAATTTCGCATCTAATAATTAGGTTCTATAACTGATCAATATCAAATTGAACGACGAAATTGACCTTTGTAAGGTAAATGAAAATATTTTGTCTCATTATGGTCATGTGATAGTTGTTGAATGTTGACAATTGACATTTGACATCGAGATTCGAGATCAGTGCTTTCGTGGCTGTGGTGGAGTAAGGCTGTGGTGTGGTGTGGGAGGAAAGATTGATCCGGGGATTACTCTTACTTATGTTTTTCATGAAGGCGATCATATGGTTAGATATTCATTGAAATATTTTAAATAATTCGTTGTCAGTGCTAGCTTGTCCCAGTCTTTACATGGTGTAGTTTAGTTAGCTAAGCTGCCTTAGCATGGTTACCAACCACCAATGACCAGAAGCTCTACGTTGCACTCTCAACCAATCACGACGCTTGGTTCCAAACGTCCTTTGCCTTCAGGTACGCCAACGTTTTCTTCAAAAGCTAAATTTTAGATTGAACTTCAAACCCTTTTCTTCGTATGTGATTTCGTCGTCTGCCACCTTTCTTCTCCTTCTACGGTTCGCACGTTATATAATAATTTCTCAGCATTTTTCTCTGTCTTTATTCTGTTTGAATTGTTAATGTTCTGTATACAAACTAACAAAGTTTGGCGGGAACTGTTCAATGGAATACCTTGAACGGGGTCAGCTGCTGAGAAGCAGTCAATGCAATGGAATGCCTTGTACACTTAGTCACTTAGATCATATAGATGCCGATGGTGTTTGCCCATTAAATGTTTCAGTGCAAGTACTAATGGCCAAATGAAAGTAGGATGAGTAATATCTAATGTAAATGCTTCGCCGCAGGACTCAAGTCACCGATTTCCTAAAGAAATGATGTGGGTTATGAAATAACACTTAACCACATTTTTCTAGCGCTCTCAAAACAGCTTCGTAGTCATCATGTGGTATCGAATCATATTTTAAATCATAGCTTGAACAGTAGTATATGCTTGTTAGTGTTGAACGTCGAGGCAAATGCAGCCTGTGCTGAGTGGCGACCCATGCGTCATAATAGCCGTCATTGACCTAGATGAAATTAGGATCCACATTCCAGATCAAAGAATCTTCAAATTAAGGTGAGTTATAGCGAGATGAAGGTGAGTTATAGCGAGATGAAAGTAAGACGAGTAGAAGCAAGTAGGATGAGCAATAACAAGATAAACGTGACATGAGTGTTAATCTAATATAATAAACGCTACTCTGTTTCATGATTATCTGCTGCTGAATAATTCATGCTGGGTATGCATGCAATGTACGGCAGTCTGCCCTCTAGAGCGGGGGAGTCAAAACGTCAGTTGACGGACAGCCAATGGGAGGGCTGATATATCGGGAATGATCTAATACAGTATAAGGAAATATAGATGTTATGATTCTTGTGTAATCAGACTATAAAGCTGTTATTGGATGCTCAGGTGCGGAATAAACTGTAATTGTTTTTTATGTGCGTATTCCAAATGAATTAACTTGGTCCAGTATCAGTGCTCTAGATTTATCCATCTTTCCGGAAATAAAATTCTATTCAGACGTTAGTATTTTGCCGAATTCTTCTTGCAAATTAAATCAGCTCGATTTCTTAAATGGATATGGGTTTTAAGTTAGTATATTATAGTAATGATTTCAGAATATACAACTTCATGCACTCTCACAATTCCACTGTAATTCTTTGCGAAACTAGGCTACCAACAAATTTCTACTGGACCTGATGCAATATTTTTCGGTCGAACGGTCGACCGTCGAACCCAATACCCAACATTTGAAGTCAGTCATGCTTGAGCGGTGAGCGTGGGTGGTTACGTGGCTCAGACGCTGTGCTCGTTACTTAGATGTTGCTCACGCCGGTTAGCCTCAAGTGAAGCTTTTCTCAGCAATCTATGTTTTGAATTCTACGATATGTTATTGGAAGAGATACTGATTTCTATGCCTATAATATTTGATTATGATCAAAGATAACTTATTGATGTAACTACTAATAATACTGTGAACTCAACAAACGACATCACTTTACAATGCACTGCCAATACCTATTCATTGGGTGGCATATTTTACAGTCAGTGTTCTATTTAATTCATAAGTTTAGTTTTCAATTGAGGTTCTTGTGCCAAACTCTTGCAAATTTCTGCGTTAACGAGTATGTAAATTACATTTTTAGCAGCGATTTATTTTTTTCACATTACTTCTGACTTCATTTTTCTGATATAGATGTGCGATTGTAAATGCAAACAGAACTATATATGCACAATATTTTTGTAGCATAACTATGATTATAACGTAGCAGCGTAAATTGTTATAGTTTGCGACAGCTGACACAGCTGATACTGACACAGCTGATGCTGACACAGCTGATGCTGACACAGCTGATACTGACACAGCTGATACTGACACAGCTGATACTCACTTGCCTCAAACCTACGGCGCTTTATTTTAGAACAAAAAATAAAAATAAAAGAAAGGTTAACATCTTGCTGTGACCTCTAGCACTTCATTGCTTTATAATTGTAGTGGGTAATTCGGTTAGGTGATTTTGCTTGATAACCCTTGTGAGACTCCGCCATACGGCGCCGTGACATTCCTGCGCTGACGTGCGCTGAAGTGTCAGCGCTGAAGCGTTTGCGCTGACGTTACGCTGAAGTGTCAGCGCTGAAGCGCCTGCGCTGACGTTGCGCTGAAGTTTCAGCGCTGAAGCGCCTGCGCTGACGTTACGCTGAAGTGTCAGCGCTGAAGCGCCT